TTATTTTAGCAAGAAAGCTCACTTTGCTTCTGATGCCTAAAACCTCTTTTAGGCTGAGGTTCCCACTTCAGTGTTACGGCAAATGGTTTTTTTTTTTTGTTTCAATTATATTTGAATTATTGTGAGGTATACACAGGTGGTTCGGACATTTTCCTGCAGTCAGATCTTTAGAAATGATCAACATGATTTTAGTACTGTATTTCATTCAATGTTTGCTTTTTTGCTTTTGATATCATGTTTGTGTTTAAAAATCATTCCAAAGCAGTCAGACTAGCAAATAAGCTGCATTTTAGGAGCTAAATAAATATATAATATACACATATGTATAAAAATGAGATGATTTTAACCAGGATGAGCCAAGCTCAGTGACAAGGCAATGCATCTGTGATGGTTCCACACATGGCTCTCCTCAGACCCAGCACACAAACCTGCTGTCTGTAAATCTATTTCTCTCTACAACACACACATGCAAAATCCATATGAATTGCCCTGAAAAAAAGCAAAGATCCATTGGCATGCAGAACACGACACAGTGAGGGCCAAGAGGCAAGCGGACTCACACCCCCTCTCTCCTTCCCGCTGCATGCTGATCATTAGAGAGACAAAGTGGGAAGAGCAACGGGGGCTGAAGGAGAGGAGGAGAGAGACGGGTGAGACAGCAGTGCCAGTTCCCCAGTGGCTAAATCACATTTAATGCTCGGACCGAGCAAAATGAAACTGTCTGCCGGCCGGTGCTGTTAATATCACCAAAAAGATGGCAACTCTCTTACAGAATGACAGGTCTGAAGTTTTAGAGGGCTAAAGTAGTGTAATGGCTCAAAGTCTGCCTTTGTCAAAGTCTCTTCCTCCTCATCTTCCATCTTTTCTCCTTTTGATACACACCTCCGTTTGCCCATCTCCTTCCGTCTTACCCTCATTCCATCTTTAACAACAACAAAGGGATTAAAAAGGATTACTTCTGACATGTCAATGTGATGTGGCTGCTGAGTATTGTGCTACCCCCCTCCCCCCTCCCATGCAGGTCTAAGTCAATATGACACACGGTTATAAAAAGAAAAAGGTCGACACTGAGAATTATAGAAAAGTTAGAATGGGGGCGCGAGAAAATGTGTTTTGTTAGAAAATGACAAGTTTCTTCACTCGTGTATTTGTCCACTCTCTCTATCCCCTGGTTCCACCTCCAAGCCCCCCCCACCCCCCACCCCCTGCAGAAGTGAGAAGTCGGGATGCTTGAGGGACATTGTGAAAGGTAGAAAAGACAAGTGTTGTTTTAGGGGCAACAGCTTTGTCCTGCCATTCTAATTACTTGCAGCGAGCTTGGAAATGAACTACTGATTAGGAAAAAAGGTAGAAAGAAAAAGGTATGCAAAAAAAAGGTCCGTGATGGAAATCACAGCAGTCTTTTTCCTCCTTAAACAGAAAAGAACCTTAAGCACTTATACTTGTTTATGCAAACAACAACAAAAAAAAGTTCAGTGTAGAGTTTAGTTTATTTTGCATGAGATATCCACTTTTCATTTTGTAAATGAAAGCCCACTGATGGGACTGGTTGCCCTAGTTTCCAAAAGGAAAAGCTTCTTCCATCTTATACATGTCAAATTTGCTCCGTAAAACTTGAATAAAATCTTTTTTTTGTTGTCGTTGTTCTTTGTTTCAGATCAAACAACCTTTGAACATGAATGTTGTGTCCCTTGAGCCAAATCAAACTGATTTATATTGGATGACTTGGCGGCACAGTGACTGGACCTGTTGCCTTACAGCAAGGAAGGCTGCTGGTTCAAATCCTGTCTCATGACTTTGTGTGGAGTTTGTATTTACTTGCCTGTGTGAGTTTTCTGTGGGGACTGAGTTGCCTCCCACAGTCTGAAACAAGTTAAACATATATCATGCTTTTAAATCCCTTTTCATATTTAAACCATTCAGTTGGTGTTTATATGAAATGGAACTACAAGGCTTTGATCTGAATTACTTCCTTATTGTAACTCCACAAGCCTTTCACCACTTTTCTGAGCTGTGTCTCAGATCAACCCGCTTTGAGGCTGTCTCTTTAAATCCAAAGGAGGAACTTCACACCCTGTCCTCTAGGGCAGTGTTTCCCAAAGTTGGGGTCGGGACCCAAAGTGGGGTCCTGAAACATCAAGGTGGGGTCCTGAAAC